TGTGAGAATGTGAGGTATATAAATAGTCCAAGTAATGATCAATCAATGGTCAATAATCAATGATCGATCGATGGTCAATCGTAAGCTTCAGCTGTGTGGTGTATCAATGTCTGATGTCAGCTGTGGCAGGAGTGATAAGTGCAAAGACTTCTAGGAGTTGTAGTTTATATCAGTGGCACATGTGTAGTTCTCCAGTGATCTGCACAGGCTAGATCGCTGGTGATCGTGAAAATGTTTCACAATTCGACGCACCTCATTACTTTACAGTACAAATTAGAATGGTAAAGGAGTTGTGTAAAGGGTTAAACTCCAGTTAGACAGAATATAGTGTCTTACCAATAAGAAATACTATGTACATGTAATAATAATACATGTACAATGAAGTGTATTTACGTTGATTAGCACTGTGGCCTCACAGCAAGTAGATCACTAGTTCAAGTCAAAGCTTAGCCAGTTGGCACTTCTGTATGGAGTTTGCATGTTCTCCCAGTGTTGGCGTGGGTTTCCTCTGGTGTTTCCCCCAATGTCTAAAGACATGCGCTATAGATGAATTGGGTAAACAAAATTGGCTGCAGTGTGTGAATAAGTGTATGGGTGTTTTCCAGTACTCGGTTGCAGCTGCAAGGACATCCACTGCATAAAACATATGCTGGAATAGTTGGCGGTTCATTCTGCTGTGGCAATCCCTGATAAATGAGGGACTAAGTCGGAGGAAAATGAATGAATGAAAATGTAAACGTAATGTTGAACACTGGAGAAAACTAGAGCATCTGAATGACAGATATTTGCTCTCTCGGTTACAGTTTAGGAAACGAATATGGTTTAAAAAATGTTCTCAGTCCAGTTTTGAATGGGTACTCATGTTAATAATACTATACATATTCTTTTTTGTCAGTTTTGCTATTTTCTTAGACTGTTACATACATAACAGATTTTCATTATGATTCAATGATATGAATGTATTTATCTTTACTTTGTATATTGTTTTATGCATGTATATTCTAAACATAATAAATGATGATTGTTATAATCAAAATGTTGCTAAAATATAACATATAGAATTGTTATTACTTTTCAACCATTTTAACTTCTACATATTTGGTTGTTATACTTGTATATTGTTTAAAATTGAATAAAATAACACAATGAAGTTATGAACTCTGAGTTATTATTATTATCATTGGTACTACATAAATAAAACCATTAGACTTGTATTTAATAGCATAGCTAGATCCTGTTGGCGTCATTTAATGTTGGACAAAATTAAATTAAATCTAAAATGTAAAATAAAATACAGATTTTTGTACATTTTATGCAAATATATACTAACTTAGTACAAACATATACATCTCACAACTAGTGTGCGATTTTCTACTTTGACGATCAGACAAAAGTCTTGTCACTTAACAGAAATAATGTACAGTATAGAATATAAAGTCATGTTGCAGTGGAAAAAGAGTTAATAATGTGACTCCATCATGAGCTTGGAGGACTGCATCCATACATCTCTGCAATGACTCAAATCACTGATTAATAAAGTCATCAGGAATGACAAAGAAAGCGTTCCTGCAGGACTCCCAGAGTTCATCTTCAATGCCTCCTCTTTCATCTTACTCCAGACATGCTCAATAATGTTCATGTCTGGTGACTGGGCTAGCCAATCCTGGAGCACCTTGACCTTCTTTGCTTTCAGGAGCTTTGATGTGGAGGCTGAAGTATGAGAGGGAGCGCTATCCTGCTGGAGAATTTGCCCTCTCCTGTGGTTTGTAATGTAATGGGCAGCACAAATGTCTTGATACCTCAGGCTGTTGATGTTGCCATCCTCTCTGCAGCTCTATCGCTCGCCGCCATACTGAATGTAACCCCAAACCATGATTTTTTCCTTCACCAAACTTGACTGATTTCTGTGAGAATCTTGAGTCCATGCTGGTTCCAGTAGGTCTTCTGCAGTAGTTGTGATGATTGGGATGCAGCTCAACAGATGATTCATCAGAAAAATCGACCTTCTGACACTTTTCCAAATGATCAACTTGAAGTCAAGTTATTATTTCTTGCTCTCAGAACTGGGATCGATGACCAGATTTTTGTCAGGTAGTGAATATGTTTCAGTCATTTTATATTTATTTTTAATTACATCTATTTTATTAATAAAACATATTTAAGTTTTCAGTGTTTTGAGGAATATATAGTGTATTCTGACTCACAGTATCCTCTGATAACCTCTTTCAGACATTACTGTATCAAACCATACAAACCTATGCATCTAATTTGACTACTATCAGGCCATATACAGCTACAAACACTTATTTTATAAGAAAATATTGTGAATACTTACAATGTCTATCTGTGCTCTAGATATGCCATTTTCTGTCTGTTGAACTAACTTTTTCTGGCATAGACTGATTGGCGCGATTATGCATTCACAGGGGTATGAACGTTATAGGGGTGGTCAAATGTATGTATATATATATATATATATAGCAGTGTGTAGCACGATCGCCTCACAGCAAGAAGGTCGCTGGTTCGAGCCTCGGCTGGGCCAGTTGCCATTTCTGTTTGGAGTTTGCTCCCCGTGTTGGCGTGGGTTTCTTCCGGGTGGTCCAGTTTCCCCCACAAGTTCAAAGATGCGGCATAGGTGAATTGGGTAGGCTAAATTGACCGTATAGTTTATGTGTGTGAATGATAGTGTATGGATGTTTCCCAGTGATAGGTTGCAGCTGGAAGAGCATCTGCTGTGTAAAACATATGCTGGATAAGTTGGCAGTTCATTTGCTGTGGCGACCCCTGATGAATAAAGGGACTAAGCCGAAAAGAAAATGAATGAATGAATATTATTATTTAAAATGCAGACCAGAGTGAACTATTTCTCAGAGCTGACCCCTAAACATCTTGTTTTGATGTCCTTCAGGGAGGATCAAGCGTTAATTAGGGGTGGAATGAGTATATTAACAGTAGCTATAGGGGAATTACTAACCTACGTCACACATAACATCACACTGGTTCAACCGTACATAGCAGTTACAATAGCAAACATGTTGTGTTGTGCGGTAGGAAAATAGAAAACTTAAATTTTACCGTACACCACACTGCTCTTAATGCCAACTGCAGACATCTTTGGCTAACAGCCATCATAAGAGCTGAATGGAGTGAGGACCTAATTAAAAATGCTGGACTCTGCAGTTTTTATTTTATATCAGGTAAGTTCACGCTATGCTGAATCATACACATCACTCGTTTTTGATTGCAGCAATGATTTCAGCAAAAACAGTTAAATATGGTGAATTAAACTGTGGACACTGAATGCTTAGAATGAAATGTAAACATGTACGTTCACATACCCTGCCGTACAGGTGCAGTTCGCTGTCAGAAAGCTGTTGTTTTGCTTGTCGATGATAACCCAGGCCTTGTACAGCTCCGTCTTCTTTCCTTGTCTTTGGCTAGGCAGAACCTGGGTTTTAGCACTACATGGTGTTGAATCTGAAGACTTGTAGGCCTTTAACTTCTCTCTTGTAAAATCATTTGGAGTTTCAATGAGGTAGTTGTATATTTCAACCCAAGCTCATTCTGAAAACGTAGTCCAGCAGACGTTTCTGGAGACAGCGGAATACGTCCCGGGGGATACGTATGGCCGCGTTTATTTTTTTCAATCGAACGCTGGGGGTGGTGTGACGCTGTTCCCTTTCGCGCTTGCCTTACCTCCTTGTGAAGGGCTTCCTCACTGCAACCCGTTTGTCCACTCAGCTCAGCGCGTACGTCGGCAGGCTCAAGATGCGGAGAGGGGTCGACCACGGCGACCGGTTTCGAGTCCGGGAAAGAGCAGCTCCAGCAATCAGGTAAGACAAAAACAGAATCCCAAAAATTAAGTGAACAAGTTTCGTGACGGGGTGAGAACGCGGCGAAATCCGAAAACGCGGTGGAATAGTAAAAATCAGGGCTTTTATTTTTTTGGACTGCTTTTGTGAACTGTTGCTCGGGTTTAGGGAAGCGATCGGGCGGGCGGGTCGATCGGTAAAATCGGTTGGGTTCAGGGAAGGAGGAGGGCGAGTCGGCCGATTGGCCGGTCGCGCAGTCAATCATCCGGTCAGTCGGATAGCGGCCTCCGGCGGGTTCACGCGAGAACAGCGCCCGCGAGAGGCGTCTGAGGTGCAAAAAAGCGAGCAACAGCGGCCTCTCGCGGATTCGTGAAAACAAAAACTGCAGCCGTACGTACCTGCCGGGACGTATTCCGTGGTCTCCAGAAACGTCCGCGGGACTACGTTTCCACAATGAGCCTGGGTTGGTATATTTGGCTGGATGCCATTTCCTCATATCCATTGGGAGGGTGCTATCGCAATTGGACGTGTCAGACAAACGGCGTTCACTTTAACATTAATTTTGCAGAATCACTGTGCTCTTCACTGGGTGACAAGCTGTTATAATACACTGAAAGCATTATGTAAATAATATATAAAATAGGTCATCAATATAACTTATTTCTAAAACAACAACAAACTCTTTACCGCATCGGATGTCATTCCCTCGCTGTAAATGCTAGCACTCCCGGTTTTTTCTGCAACCTTGCTGCGTGCGCATTCTGAATGTTTACAAACCGGTAATTCATCTATACATTTACATAGAAATGTATGAACAGTTGCCAGTAGTTTGAATGAGCCAAATTAAAATAACACAATGCTTCATACAGTTTTTTTTAAAACGTTTTTTGTTTAAAATGTTATGCAGTGTAATACCGTTATTATATTTATTCTCTTATAAAATGTTTACAATTTGGCTTAGCTTCAGTTTAGCCCCTTAGCCCGTTTCTTTACATGAATGATATACTTCACGGAAAACTAGAAAATAAGACAATACGTTGTACCATTATATTAATAAATAACATTTATAATCAATTGTATCTTGTATAAAAGCGAAAAAATAAATAAGATACACAATGACGTTATGAAACAGCGACGTGATGTCATGACGTCGGTGACGGCGGCACGCGGGAAAGTTCAGCTCTAGCAGCAGCAGCAGTAGCTTAGCGGGTGAGTGACAAAAACAATAATGTCGACGTTAAACGTTCGATTAACCTTATAATCACAGCTCTTTTACATTTTCTGTCATTTATTCCTTCACATTAATAATATCTGTGCTGTGAGAACTTGTTTGAATAGGTTGTTTGTGTCGATGAGAGCGAAATAGTGTTAATGTGTATACATGGTCAGCAGCTTTTCGAACATAAGGGCTAACGTTGATTATTAAACTAATATCCTACACATTTTATAATTATTCACTATCTCTAATTGTTCTTTCATCATGTTATCTGTGATCATGAATTCCATTTTATATTAGCTTAAACGCTAAATTGCGTTAGTTTTATCTTTGAGGAGATTTACTATAGTATTTTAGCATTACCGTGGTGTTCATAAAGGAACATCAGAAAACATTGAGGTAAAGTTTGTTTTATATTCACACATTCTGAATTTCTCCTTAATAATATAATTTCAGAAAAGTAATCTTTGATAATTTTTTTTAAATCGGGAAGTCATGTTATGACTGAAACTGCAACACTGTTGACAGTCAATTTAATAGTGCCACTTTGAGGGATGTAAACAAAAACAATAGTCCCATGGTATTTTCTGTTTCACATTTTACATTTCTATAGTCTCAGAGAATCTAAAAAGACACGCATATTGATAAATAAGGTAATGATAGCTGTTTTAACATTAAATTAGGATTGAATTGTCTCTTGTTACAGTTATGAAGTAGTTTTATAACAAGCAGGAAATGTTCATGGAGCAATGACATGACCACATTGAAACGGCCTATAAACTTTGTTATACTTGGAAAGAATCTTTAGTCGCACTATTTTAAGGTTAGTTTCTTGCGCTTAGTAAACCATTTTGACTTGTGCGTCAATAAAATCCTAATTTGCTTCTTAATAGTTATTAAGGTAGTTTAGGTATAGGGTAGGAATTAGGGATGTAGAATAGGATCATACAGAACATGTAGTTTATAAGTACTTATAAGCAGCCAATATCTTAATAACATGCATGCTAATAAGCCACTAGTTCATCTTGAAGTGTTACTGAATGTATTCATAATTTTGATTGATTAGGATGATTCTGTAGGGGAGTGAATCATGCATAACATGTAATAAACAGACTACATGCATAGATAAATGCAGCAGATAAAAGTTAAATAAACAGTGCATGTATTATGGTTTCTGTTTATATAATGTAAAAATCACACTGTAAAGCCAACTCAGCATTGCATATCTTTGCGATGTGACTATTGCGATACACACATTATGATATCGATGCTGAAATGATATATTGTGCAGCTCTAGTTAGTATGGTAAACAATATACATATGCATTATAGGTCACCAACTTTACCTCAATTTGAAAAACCATGTAAATTATGATGCATGTTAAAAGTTACTTTGGTGTTATGATAGGAAAACGTTTTAGATTGATCAGTACCTTATTAATTACGTTTTTCTTTTACAAAATAAATAAATACCATGATACACTTCCAAAAATCATTTGTGTCGATGTTTGATGATTCTTAAATCTTTCGGATTGTCATTAAAACCTTGAAAAGTTTTTAATGATGAAATGTAAAGTTTATAAAGTCATTCTATTCGGTTATTGTTTTGTAAATGTCCAATTTCATAACATCTGAATCATTCATTAAACCATGATTGTTAATTAAATATCAAATTAAAATGATCATAATTTTGTGCAGTTATTTTCTTTTATTATCTAACTATCCATTTGCCACAAATACCTAAAAAGTCTTTAAACATTTCTGGGTAAATCAGTGGTGTGCCTTGATCTTAGTAAATGTTTTAAACTACATAAATGTTAAAGCAAAGACATTCATGGGGACGAAAATATTTTCCTTCAGGATCTGTGACTTTGAATTTGCTAATAATGTTAATTTAGGATGTCTTAAAAATATAAGCATTACATGCGGCTTTTACTAATAATGTTTAATGTGTTATGAAGGAGTAAATATGGCCATGAGGAACGCATCCCGGGTGGAGGTGGAGGCAGAAGTGGAGGAAGAGGAGAATTTTGGGCCACAACCAGTTTCCCGCCTAGAGGTAAAACTGTACAGGGTGTCTGTGAGGTCTTAAAATGTATTAAAAGTTGATAAATGTATTTAGTGAAATTTAAGTCCTTTATTTTAAATTCCTAAAGATTAATTTAGTCATTTAAAGGTTAGTGAGTTTGCTAAAGCGCCACATATAGTTTGTTACTGGTGTATTTGATGTTTTGTCGTTCTCTTTTTTTTTTCTGAACATTTCAAAGAGGTAGTGAGATAAATAAGTTATTTTGTTCGTTGTTTGCCTTCTGAATTATATTGCATTGATAAGGAGCTACAACTCTTTAGTTATGCTTTCTTGTCATCACTATTTAGTAAATTTACTGTGTTAAAATGTTGCCAATGTTACCATTTGAAACCTAAAGTGGCGACGAGGTCTTAATCTATGTAAAGTGTTTAAAAGACATTGAGTTTAAGGCTTTGACTCTTGTGTATACCTTGATGTAGCTCCAGGTATATATACATAAACCTTTGAGTGGGTTCTCATTTTATATATATATATATATATATATATATATATATATATATATATATATATATATATATATATATATATATATATATATATATATATATATATATATATATATATATATATATATATATATATATATATATGTATATTTATTTTAAACCTCTCTTCAGCAAAGTGGCATCAGCAGCAGTGACATTAAGAAGCTGGAAGATGGTGGTTTCCATACTGTAGAAGCCGTCGCATATGCACCCAAGAAAGAACTGCTGAATATTAAAGGAATTAGCGAAGCCAAAGCTGACAAGATCCTGGTAAGACCTCAGCAACACACTTCTGTGTATAATGTACTGTTTATACTTGCCATTAAATGGATATTTACGCAAAAAAAAAAAGAAAAATCTGTTATTAATTATTTACCCTTATGCTGGTCCAGTCCCCAGAGACCTTCAACAAATGAAGATATTTTTTATGAAATCTGAGAGCTCTCTCATGCTCTTATAAACAGCAACAGTGCCCAGAAAATGAACTCAAAACATTGTCAAAACATTTCATGTGACTTCAGTGGTTAAACTGCAATACAATGAAGCTCCAAGAACACTTTTGTGTGCCAAAAACCATTAAAAAAAAAATACATTTCACGTTTTCTCTCACGTTTCATCTAAAATATCTACATTTGTGTTCCAAAGATGAAGAATTCACAGAATTGTCCTATTTAGTTAAACTAATGCTTAAAGTAGTATTTTTGCTGTTGTTGTTTTCACTTTTTTTGTCCACTTTCAACCACTTGCTGATTTCTTTGAGGTGAGGGTCTGTTTCCTGATTTTAAAATCTAACGCCTCATTCACACGGGGCTTCAGCATCAGCGCTTGACAGAGGGCGTGTCTGAAGTTGGGGCTGACGCGATCGCCATAGCAGCGTCAGCTAATAAAATTAGTCAGCAATACGCCACTGTCTGAGCTGGTGTATTTGCATACAGCAATCTGATTGGCTGACGCTTTCGGATCCACAATGCAGTTCGTCATTGCCTCACGTCACCCATTCTAAGTGAATGGGAAGCGTTGAAGCTGACTCCCCTTGTGAATGGGGCGTAATATTGCAAAATAAAAGCTTGTGCCGTTTACATACTGTGTAAGACTGATAAGCAGAGAAGTAGAAAGTTTCCGGAACTACGTCATATCATTAATATCATTGAAGATTTTTAAACAAACAATTTATGTTATTTTTATAAATTATTTTAATGATTTTAAAGATTTTTATAATCATCCAAGGTTTTTTTTAAAAATAAACTTTGATGCATCACTTGCTTTTGTTCATATCTCGGACAGTTTTACCTATTAAAGTTTATTAAAATATTAATGACAAGAGAACTTGGTTGGCTCTACAAATATAATTTTTTATTATGACAGTAATAAAAGCAAAAAAGTACACTTACTAAAAACTTTTTTTTTTTTTATTTTTAAGATTTAACCCACAATTCAGACATTAATGTCTGGCTAGTTGTCGCCCCCTACTTATAAGCTAATAAGGCAATTATGGTCCAACATTCCTGACCAATATCACCAATAAAGCCCAGAAAAATAGGGCATCAGTGTATTGTAAACCGATAGGTTCAAATATTCTTTTCTAGTTATCAAAGAAATCATTTGTTCCTTAGTTAAAGTTTTGTAACTATTCAATTATTTTAAATTTTAAATTATAATATATACATTGGTGTTAAACCTATAAACGATGGAAAAACTGTATTTCTGTGATTGTGTACTGTGTCTTCACTTTTGCAATGGCATCTTTTGGCTTCAACAAACTCATCCCTCTGGTTTTTCTAAACTTTTTAACAAAAACCTTCATCCTTTCCCACTGCTGTTGCAATTTCTAGCCAATAATTATTGTTCATCTGGTTCTCCCTATGATCATGCATGGACGGATCATAAAGATGTTTGTACAGTCGTACCTGTTTCAGACAAAGTTGAGTCAAAGTGATTCATATTCAACTCAAATGAAATGCAGCGCAGACAAATTGTTTGCTTGAGTTTCAAAATAAATATTCGCTCCACTAGCCGAAATCATGTTGCAAGCACCCAAAGCAAACCTCCTCAAACACAGCGATAACGTCACACTCGCTGCGCGCACTAGCTGAGTATAAACCAGGCTTTAACCAACATTCAACTGAATTAACAATCGCCCATCGATATAGGAGAAGCCAGAAAGGAGCAGAAGCAGGAGACAAAGTAATGATGATAAAGAAAGGGAACGGTTTATTGTATTTATGCTGTTCACTTGTGGTTTGACATCCTAATGCATGGTGTAATCATGGCTTTTGATTAAACCTCTATGACAGACAGAAGCTGCTAAAATGGTTCCCATGGGCTTCACCACAGCGACTGAGTTTCACCAGCGCAGAGCCGAAATCATCCAGATCTCCACAGGATCTAAAGAGCTGGAT